GCCCTCAACAGGGCAAAGGTAGCAAAGAAAAAAACGAAGTGCTTCCAACCCTTCCCCAAACAAGCCATAACAGTGTAGCCTGAAGTTATGCTTTTAATTTTGAAACTTCAGAAAAGAAAAACATTGTATAATATCATGTAATGATCACGTGATCTCTTCTTTTCATTGCGTAGACATGCATGCATCGAATTGTGAAGCCTAAGCTACACTGATGACTGGAATCAGGGACCAAATAGTGATTTTTCACTCGCCTCATAGTTCTCCTTTTAAGTGACCACCAGGAAATGAGATGGGGAAGTGAGAGTGATCTCTTCTTTTCATTGCGTAGACATGCATGCATCGAATTGTGAAGCCTAAGCTACACTGATGACTGGAATCAGGGACCAATTAACACAATTGTTTGTAAAGGTGCCCATAGACCTATCGGGTTTTTCTACGGGAATGGTCTTTTGAACGATACTTGTTGGTGATGGGAAACCAATGATTTTAATTACTGTACTCCTGGGTGAATAACCACGATCGGTCAGAGCGGAAAACTTTTTTTTCGAATCGTATGAAAATCGATGGATTACTGGCATCTTTGTACGGGGAAAAAAAAAATTGCAGCAAGAACATTGTGCAAACGAAAATCCGTTTGATCAATCGAAATTTAGTGTGTTAGTGTTGCTAAGAAACGATTATCGAAATCTACATCGATCTGTGCATGTGGGCTATTTGAGCTGGAATCTAAAGAGTCCTTGCAGCAATAAACATTTCTGATCAAAAATCTATAGGTGTAAGGCCAGCTTAAGGCAGCTCATGGCAATTGATCAAACATAGGGTCTTGTTCAATTGAGTAACAAGCAGGTTAAGATTTGTCTCTGTAGCTTAGACTTAAGGTCCCCACACACCTTGCGATAATCGCGGGAAATCCCGCGATCGTACGATTATCGTAAGGTGTGTGGAAGCCGTGCGACCTCTACTACTGTAAGGTCGCACGACTTTAAACTTACGAACATGTTCGAAAACCCGTCGAGCATCGTACGATGTTCGGCGGGTGTGTAGCATGTTCGTAAGATAAAAGCAGCGCACACTGCCCGTTCGGCATTGTGGTCATCGGAAGCCCGCCCCTCAGGGGGGCGAGGCTTGCGATCATCGCAAGTACGATCTGCCTGTCCAAGATAGGCAAATCGTACGTTTTTTTAAAGTACCTTACAACCATCGCAAGACAAAAGTCTTGTGATGGTTGTAAGGTGTGTGCCCAGCCTTATGTGTTCAATTATACAAGACCTATTTGTTTTTTGGCATCAGATTTAAACCTCTGCTGGCAGGTGCCTTGGTTGGAACCAGTGTATTACGAATGAGATAAAACTGCATCACTTCTAGTCCTCATCTACTATACAGGTTTGCAGATGGTCACTGTTTGGGTTCACAGAAGCACATCATGTAGGTAATGACATGAATGCTCTCTGAGGGGGCTAGAATGGAATTTGACATCTTTGTGAAGGTATTGGGCAGCATCGAGAGTCTGACTGTAAGACATCTGAACTGCAGGTGAACATCTATGACTGAGAAACAAATAAAAAAAACCTTTGAACGACGGTTGAATTAGAATGTGTAAAAAAACGTGACCATGGACAACATCCATCACCTGGCTGGATTGACAATTATGGTTTTCAGGAATTCCATTTAAATCTGCTGGGGGAAAAAAGAATCTGTTGACTGACTTCAGAACAATGAAAGGTCTGCAGTAACCTGCTTTTTCCTTAAAAGGTAAAACCCTAAAAAAAAAACTATTTTGCTGAAAGGACTTGGGACTACTGCCCCTTGTTCTCAAACAATATGACTATATTGAAATGTAATTTCCATTTTCTTGAAACTTGGAAGGGTAGATGGTATGAAAAGCTTCCTCCATCCTCTTGTGGATCCAGGAGAGTGATCTTTCAAGATGGTCACACTAACCCAAGAGGTCTGACAGTTGTCAATTCAGACCTGTGCAGTTTTAACCTTGCCTGCCTGGACATAGTTAGGTCAAAATGACCTAATGGGATTCTCAGAGGTTGAGGGCATCTTGGTCTTTGAAGCCTTCAGGAACAGTTTGCCTTCACCCCCTGGTTCTGGTCTGTGGAAACTTCTGTTGTCTCAACCTACAGTCCTGAATTTTCACCAGTGACCCTGAAAATTGCCGACTCCAGCTTGGTCCCAAACAGGGACTTTCCATCAAATGCTTTCCTACATGATTGTTTAGACATAGGACCAGTGACAAGTGGTTTGAGCCACAGGCCCATTGTGCTGTGATGTTATGGACAATCTTGCTGACCATCGAATGGTGTCAATTGTGGCTTCACCCATAAAATTTGCAGGCATTGGTTACTCATCCAATGCCCATATGGTCTGGTCCTTCTCCAGTCCATGTTTGATATTGAACTCTGTTTTCATTCCATGAACTTCATGCTCTTGCTGAGGTGGTTAGAACAGAAGCCATGAAGCCATTTGGTTGCTCTCAGCTTCCTCCTACCAGGTCTAGCAATCATACACTTTGGGGGCATATATAACATTCCAGTGAACAGTGGGACCTGTGGTGCCATCTAGCAGGATATACAGGAAATCTGAGGTGCCATCTTTGCAAACCGTAGGAGGATCATGTTTACAGGAGCAAAGAGCTTGTGAACCTCCAGAACCCCAACCTTTCCATAAGTCCTTTCCAGCCAGGCATGAGTGATTGTCACTTAAACGTTTTCAATCGAATACCTACCTTCTAGACGACCCCTTACCTAACAAGAGAAGGATGAACAATGTGTGTGTGGAGACCAATCCATAGTGGAACAGAGCAGACAGTTAAAAGGTAAGCATGGTACAAATGTTGGTATGATGATTGGAGGAGAGGAGGGGGCAGAGATGTGACAGCTCTCCCCCTCCAAATCACAGAATAGCTTGTATTTGCAGTGTGTAAATCATCATTGTCCAGACTGCGGCTTTAAAGGCGGTTGAAAAATAAAAGACTTACTGGCCCAATCACCAGGTGAATATAAAGGAAAAAGCCTAAAAGTGAAAAATTAATGCAGCCATAATATCTAAGAATTGGTAAGCGGCATTATATTAGATGTTTGCTTTTAGGTTTAGATACTCTTTAAGGTCCCATACATATGGGCATTACTTATACAAGGGACAGCAAGCATTTACAAAGCTTTTGATGAAGCCTTAAAAGCACTAACTCCAGTTTGCGGAGGTTAAATCACAGATCTTGGAGAGCACACTAGCACTTAAACTGTCAACAGACTTCAGTTTTAGTAAGCTTCAGCACAACTTGAAGCTTGCCGAAAAGCCTACTAGTAGGTGGCGATAGAATGCCCATTAGAATCTGTTTTACATCTCCATACATGAACTAAAGGGAGATTTAAAGCAACTCTAGGCTTTGAGAGATTTTATCTAACTTCCTCCTGTAGCATCTCTGGGGCAGAAGTGAAATGTCCCCAAAGGTATGCAGACAGCAAAAAAAAAAAGAAACCTGGCAGGGGTTTGTATCCTTTCTTACTCTATCCAGATATAAAGGAAACAAATGGCTATAGATACACTTTCACAGCTTCATAAACTGCTGAAAAACCTTGCAAATACTCTAAAAGCTGCTTACTTGACAAAGGCTTTAGTGGCTGAAAGAGCAATATATGTACAAGGGCTAAGTCAATACCAGACTATCTTATAATAGCTTTACATTATCAGGATTAAATGGTGCATTGTTATATAAAAGAAGGGTTTTTTTTTCAAGCTGTGGGTCTCAGGGTTGCCATCTTCAATCACCAACCTTAAAAAGGAGAACTATGAGATGAGAGGTTTTGACTCACCTCATAGTTCTAGCCGACCTGTGACAATGAGACTGTCACAGGTCGGCTCAGTAGATCAGGAGGTGAGCGAACACATACCAGGTTCGCTCACCTCTCGATCCTGTCACGGCTCTCTGCCGTGACAGGGGGAGGGGCTGGATTCCCCCCTCCCAGCTCCGATCTGCCAGCGCTGACTGGCGGAACGGAAGGGGGAGGGTACAGCTGGCTCTGCCTCTAGATAGGCAGAGCCAACTGTCACTCACGCAGCTGGGCGGATCCCGAAGTCCAGGTTGGGATCTCAGTATACCGCGAGCTCTAGCTCGCGGTATACTGAGCTTAGGGTAACGGGAGGACGCTAGTTTGTGTCCTC